CATGAACGCCGATGACCTTCACCTTAACACCCTAAAACCACCTTGACACCCTGAACATGGATCTGTTGGCCATTCAGTTCGAATCATCCCTGAGGTTCTCGAATCTTCAAAATAAGATTCGAGCAAAAAACTCGACCCACACCGATACACCTCAGCTTCACACCAGATAGTCCCCAGACCCCTCTCGTGACCAAACCATGCTTGGTTTGGTCCGAATCTGACCAGGGAAGCATGAATCCCAGATCTGATTTTTGGAACCTTAGGGTTCCTTGTCACTGGTCTGTATCTTGTTCAAGCCGGAGAGATTAAGGTCTAATGGACCTTAATCGAAGTGTTTCTCATCTGAGAAACACTTCGATTAAAGTCCGTTCAGCCTTAAGAAAGGTCTGTTCGAGTCCAAGCTAGGGNTGACTTAATGATACTGTTAGAAAGTCAGTGATTGTTTGGAAAGAGCTCAAACCTGGAGCTCCGCACGATCATAAAACTTAGACACCTTGGCTAACCTTTCTAGCTCATCACCACGAACCCCAGAGAGTAGAAACTTTGGACATTTTCTTGGAACGGTGCTTTCGTTCTGCACTCCCACAGCTTGTGTGGCGGGCTTTGCAGCATGAGTCAAGGAAGTTGTGGTTTCACCTCCACTGGATTCTTCACAATGTCTATCAGCAACCTTGGCAGATTGAAGCTGATAACTGGAGCAATTCATGTCGTTAATTTCAAGATGCTTTGTGCCAAGACTATTTGGAGCAGATTGGCTGGCTGCAAATGTACTAAGAATTTACTTAGAATAACATCAACATACAATCAGAGATGTAATAGATCTGTTAAAAGAATTTAGTTTTATTACCAAGAGTGGTATCAGTGCCATTGACTTTTGCACCAACTGATTGCGGAAGCACTACTCTGTTAATTCTGTGGTGTCCTTCGGATATCTTCATCATGCTTTCTTCCTCAGAGCTATTGGAAACAACTCTATTAGTTAGCACCCTCACATTTGTTAGTTTTGTTGTAGTGTTAGCAGTTCTTGATGATGTTGTTAGATCAATATTTNACTTTTTGAGTTTTGAGAGAGTACCATAACATATACATGAACTACTAGTATTTACACTCGACATACTAAACCATGTGTCCCAAAAGGTTTGTCACTTTTCTAGTTTCTACCCTCGTGATTTAAACTAAGTGAACTTTGATTAACCTCAAAAAGTTTAACCTTTCACCATCTGACATGAATGAATTCAGATAGTCCAATTTTTTCCCGAAAATCAATAAGCAAAAAAAGTGAATTGAGTGTCACTACTTCTATGCATTGACCAAACACAAGAATCTAGCAAGGGCAGCCCAGCACACTAAACTCCCGCTATGCGCGGGGTTCGGTGAAAGGTCGGACCATAAGGGTGTATCGTATGCAGTCTTACCCTATGTTTCTACAAAAGGCTGTTTCCACGGCTCGAACACGTAACCTCCTGGTCACATGGAAGCAACTTTAGTAGTTACGCCAAGGCTCCGATCTAGCAAGGGGTAAAAACTAAAAGAAAGGACAAAAAGAGAGAACCCTATAAGGCTTCATTCTCCAAACAAGTGAGTTGAGTATCATACAATCTGGAGATTATATATAGTGTAAATACCAATCCAATTAGACATAAAGGGGAAAAGGTACTTACTGCTGGGGAAGACAGAAGGAAACTCGTTGTTGTGTTGGCTCCAAAATACCCAGAGGTCATTCTTAGTGTTAGGCTCAGTGTATTGCAGGGGACATGGCATGTAACTCAATGCTTCGGATACACTACCACATATTCTGAATGCTTCATTTCTTCCTGCCATTTTCACTGTAGCCCAACTATTTAACACTAAGCTTTAATTTGAGATGAAATTCAAAATCAAATAGATGCTTACAGTAGATCCCCTTACTGTATTCAAAATCAAATAGATGATTAACACCAACACAAGGATGGAGCAATTGTGCAAAACAAAAGAATGAAAGAAGGAAGGAGCAGAGGATATTCTGTCTTTACACAAACCTTTTTGGTTCTTTTCACCTAAAATAACTCTTTCAGCACTTCTTACATTAATGTAAACATCTTTTGGTCTATTTGGCCTAAAAACAACTGTTTCAACACTCCTTTATCTCAAAATTTTCAACACTTGTTTAGCAATAAGTGGAGATAACTTTGCCACCAAATATGGAAAGTCAATGTGAACAATTGGAAAGAGATACCGGTTTGGCCTGCAACCAACAACAACACCAAATAAAGTTTTCAAATATAAATTATTCATGTGTGTATATAAATTATAATCCCTCCATTTTAATTCATGTGTGTATATAAATTATTATATAAAGTTTTCAAATAATCAAAAGTGACTATTCATTTTGGCACAGACTAAAAGTAAATTACGTTCACATAAATTAAAATAAAGTAAATGTATATATTTTTCTATGTTATATACAGAAAATATATAAATTTTATCTATTTTTGATTATCGAATATAAATAATTTTTACCGTAGCTAAAAATGATCTTTAACTAATTTAATTCTAATTAAATTAAATTAGACAAAGAACCAAAATGAGTTAGTGGAATGTGGGCCCAGATGGCAAGGTTAAATAAAAAAGAAAAGAAAATTGGACGGTGCTTTCCCATCCATTTATGTAAAACAAACCTTTTGGTTCTTTTCACCGGAAACAACTCTTTCAACACTTCTTACATTAATGTGGGCCTCAATATTATAAAATCTAGGCCCACAAAATTAATTATGAAACAAAAATATTACTTCATGCAACTAGTTTGAGATAAAAATTTTAGTAAACATCTTTTGGTTTATTTGGCCTAGAACAACTGTTTCAACACTTGTTTTTAGTAGCAAGTGGAGATAACTTTGCCACAAAATATAGAAAGTCAATATGAACCTTTGGAAAGAGAGACCGGTTTGGTTACTATTTGATTTCAAGAATGGAGTGTGTGTTCAGTGAACAAGCCTGGTCCCGCCAACCCAATGGTCTATGGGTTTTTTGGAGTGAACGTGATGATGCAGAGCAGCTTCAGAATCACTTCTCCTTCAGTAAGAACTTACTATATTTGATTTTCTCATAAATTGTAGGGAAGAAGAATTTTTGGTTTTTGGTGGGGTTGAAATTATTTTGATCTTTATACATGGGATGAGAGTCAGCTAAGTATTTTCTGAGATACACTGCCAAATTCAGCTTCATTACTTCAAAATTTTGTTCTTTTTTAATACTTTTGGGATATTCTAGCAGTTTGTATCCATTATGGCAAGGGGAGTCTTAGCGTGACTGGTAAAGTTGTTGTCATGTGGCCACGATGTCATAGGTTCGAATCGTGAAAACAACCTCTTGCACAAATGCAGGGTAAGGTTGCGTACAGTAGACCCTTATGGTCCGGCCCTGGATCCTGCGCATAGTGGGAGCTTGGTGCACTGCCTTTTTTTGTATCCATTTTGACAATCATTTCCTTAAGAATTGTTGGACTTCCTATTTGCCCATGAATGAGGACAGAATCTTTGCTTTGGTGGGTTAAAATTATGTTGTTTTATCGTAAGCAAAAACACTAGGTGATTTCTTCATATCTATCCAAGACAGCGTTACCCAATACCTGTAGTGGTGGGAGATAGCAAGTACCTCATGTAATTAGTCGGGATACACTTAAGCTCGCTCGGATACCACAATTATCAAATAAAAAAATGTTGATATTTATAAATGGGATGGGAATCAGCTATGAATTTTCTAAAATACATTGCAAGTTTCAATAGACCTTTGTGGTCCGTCCCTTCCCCAAACCCCGTGCATAGCGGGAGCTTAGTACACCGGGCTGCTCACATTGCAAGTTTCAATAGACCTTTGTGGTCCGTCCCTTCCCCAAACCCCGTGCATAGCGGGAGCTTAGTACACCGGGCTGCTCACATTGCAAGTTTCACTCTCATTGCTTCAAAATTAGGTTCTTTTTGTTTCTTCTTTGGGAAATTCTAGCAATTTGTTTCCATTTTGAGAATCATTGTTGCAATTCAGTTACATACTTTAGGTACAAGATATTCACCATCATGGTTGCCATTGANTACAAGATATTCACCACCATGGTTGCCATTGAATTTTGTACTTGCCACACCTTAGAAGAACTTCTCATTCACTTGAAAATTTATCCCGGATATAAAGGTCTGAACTTTGAATCCTCAACCTATTCTTTATAGTACTGATAACCATTTATCTTGTCGTTTTGAATTGGTGCTAAAGTTGGCAAACCTATATGTTTGGTATGCTAAGGAGAAAATGCCAACCTTTTGTCAAAGTAATTTTGTTACTGTCACTTCTCTGCAAACACTTAATTTTTTTCAATCGTTTTCTTTTCTTTATTACCAATGGCAATGGGCCAAAATTCATTACAATTTATAGTACTGGCTCTGATTGTCATGTATGAGTGAAAGATTGAGGCAGGCGTAAAATTTATAGTACTGACTCTGAGATTATCATTAGTAGTACTGTATCGCGGATTTTAATTCAAGAAAATTCCTTAAATTAGATAAAGGTAACTTAATTGCTTTGGCCAATCAGTAAAATTGTTGCTACAAGCCTTTTACAAAACCTGGGAGTAATATTCTTTGTACTAATACAATATTTGTGTATGCCACAGCTGCAGATGTTGTTACTAAACGCATGGCAATCAAGGAAAGAGTTAAGATTGCACTACAACATGTAGAGAAATTGTCCTGCAATTATCTTATTCAGTACTGGGCTAGTATTGTAATTGATGGCCAGACTTTCCTAACAACTTCAGATCAGCCTTTTGGTCTTACCAGACTTGAATACGGACTATGTTCGTACAGGAAAAAGTGCCTGAGCCATGCAATTCCTGTTGAGCTGAAGAACGGTACCCAATGTGAAAATGACCTTGGTCCCCCCGGACGTGTGTTCAAACATAGGTTGCCTGAACTATGTACAAACATGAAGAATTACAGCAAACAAGAGTTCCCTTTACGGGATGATGCTGTAGCCTGGAGCATACAATGGTGTTATACTGTCCCTGTCTTTGATCCATCTCGAGACACCTTTGTCGGGGTCCTTGAGTTGGTCACCAGTCACCAAACAAAAGAATGGATATGTGGAAACTCTGTCTTGCCCATTTTCAAGATGCTCCAGGTTTTTACGCATACCTTCAGCTTTTTCCAACCTTAAATGTTGAACCTCTAGCTCATCTTGTTCAGCATCCATGATCCCTTTTAATGCACTGTTTTCCTTTCACCATTTCTGAATAGTAAAAGAAGAGGCGCCAAGAAAAGAGGAAATTAAAACTGTACACTGTATTATTCAACCGCTGTTTATTCTTTTCCACTTTTGACTTCATTTTTTAGGTGGTGGATCTGAAATCTCCAGATTCATATTGTCCGCTTGATTTGAAAGTAAGTTGTCCAGTAGATCAAGCTCTTTTCCAGTAATGTCTCCCTTCGGACCATATTCATTTCCTTTGGCTCTTTTTGTTTAAGCTTCAGTGATATCTCTATCTTGAATTCATATTAACAAAGACAGTCTCAAGGCAGGTTTTGGATGACCGGCAATGTGCTCTTGGTGGATTATACAAGGCAATCGAAGTGGTATGTCAAAAACATCAATTTCTCTTTGCTCAGATTTGGGTCAGTGTTGCTGATTCATGGTGCCCTGGAAAAGCTATCACTGTTAGACAACGACACATTGCAATCAACAATAACCAAAACTTAAGTTTATTCAAATATGCAAGTGGTCTTCAATACATATTAGAAGGATATGGTGTTGTTGGCAGGGCTTTCTCATCAAAATCTTCATGCTTTTGCCGAGATGTAACACGGTTGAGCATAATGGAATACCCCTTGGTAACTTGTGCTCGCGAAGCTGGTTTAACTAGTTGTTTTGCTATCTGTTTAAGTGCTCCGGGCAATGATGACAATGTTTTCATACTAGAGTTCTTCTTGCCCCCAAATGAGCTTCTGCATAGGAATCTACAAGACTTCCTGAAGTTAGTTTTGGACACGGCGAAACAACAGTTGCAACACGTTAAGGTTGCA